AATATTACTAACTATATAATTATTTTTATATTGATTATATACATCATTTAGGCTTTCAGTTGCCCAAGTAATCCATTCATTGTCCCAGCCTTCTTCTTCATAATATGCTTTCTTAAACCTTGGATCAAGTAAGGTTGTTACGGCATATGCAGGACCATCACTTTTTGTATAATAGATGATTAATTTCTTAAGTGCTTGCTTAATGGCTTCATGAATTATTATAATTGAACAATTATTTTGCATATCTTCAAGATCATCTATAATTTGGTTATAGGCTGATATAACAAGAGACATCGTGACATACGATTCATCACACAATACCTTAAACATATCACAAAAGGATTTTAGAGATAAAGACACAACTTCTAATACATTCCATTCTCTTTCTGAAAGACCAAAATCATTTAGTTCTCAAATTTTACTAACTATTTTATCAATAGCTAGTGATATAGCAATAGCTTGTTTAATCATGCTAATTGTGGAATTCCACCAGATCTTTGAATTGAGAATTGAAGTTTTATATTGTATATTAAGAAATTCATATAGTTCTCTTAACTTATTACAATATTGGGATGAAGATTGAATTTTAGTAATTAATATTTAAAGTTTTTTTATGGTTGGAGTTTGGGTGATGGTGAACTGATCTAGGACTTGAAGCTCATCCTCATCTTGATCTAATGGTTCTGAGCATAGGTGGTTCAAAAAGGCTTGTAAGACAAGATTAATGACATGAGTCATGCAATGAACATGACTATGTTGCTTAATAAAGAAGCTATCAATGCTTTTACACTTGGCCTCAAATGTCTCAAGTAATGTATCATTACTTGAGGCATTGTTAATGGTTATTCTTAAAATTTTATTAATAATACTGAACTTATTACAAATACTAACTAAAGTATTTGATAAATTAACTCCAGTATGTGCCTCATCAAAAGGTGCAAGATCAAGAACTTGCGACTCAACCTCCTAATTATTACTGATCCAATGAGCTGTCATACCTAGAAAAGCCTTACAACTCTTACTTGTCCAGAGGTTGACAGTAAGAGAAAGCTTACTCAAATTATCCATTAGAGTGTTTTTTAGGGAAGTTTTTAGTTTTGAGTATTGTTTTAACAAATCTCTTTTAACTGTGCTTGCAGAGGGAACTTCAATATAACCCAAGGCTTTAATTAATCAATCAACTTCCAGAAACTTTCTGATTCGACAGTTGTAAAGGAAAGACCTTTCGTTGCAATCCACTTGACCAATGCTTCTCTAAAAATGCTTTTATTTAACTGAGGAACTAGAGCTGCAAGATCTTCAGAACTGTCCACCTTGGAGATGTTGATATTATGAACATTAGAAATATAGTTATACAAGCTAATGATGCTACCACTGCTTATAATAAGAAATTTGTTATAAAAACAGAGACAGCATTTGGCTTTTTGCTTGCCAAATTCCTCAAAAGATAGTTCAAAAAATAATCATACTCGAACTTTTTTTTGAGTTGATACACGAGCACGACTGGTAGAAGCCATTTTTTAAAATAGAATAATTATTCAATATAAAAATTTTTATTTAAAAAAAAATTTGAAGGTATGATTTTATTTGTTATTAAACAAGTTACAGGCTTTTTCCCATATTTATATTTATATTTTTACTTTAACTACACTAATGATTTTTTTGTGCATAATGATCACACATAACATTTGCACATAAAGATCATGCATAACGATCACACATTGAATTTAGTATTGATGAGATGTTAAGAAAATTTGAAAAAAAATTAGACTATGCAAAATTAATATTACGATTCTCTTAAAGTTTTAAAAAATAACCCGGCAACCTTAGTTTTGAATTTCCAAAAAATTTATATATATAAATAATATATAATTAAAACTTTTGTGAAATTAAATCAGGTCATGTCATAATCAATCGATTAAGTTTGCATAACTTTACTATTTATATATTAGATCCTGCTATCAAAATAAAATTGAATTACAACTTTTTTAAGAAATTTAATTGTATTATTTATTTAAATAATTACATAATTTGTTTTTATTAAAGGATGAATCTAATTGTAACATGCTACATAACAACCTTGAAAATTTAACTCGAATCCAATTAAAAATTTTTATTAAAATTATTTATTAAATTTCATATAATAAAGTAAGTAATTTCGCTACATAAAAAAAAATATAGCAGATTACTATCCTGATTTATATATAGGTGTACAAAGGAGAAACCTGAATTTTTTTAACTAATAAGAATTATAGGTTTTTCTTTGTGGCACTCAAATCTAAGTGAATCTAAACGTATAGCATATCACCATATGCGACTACATCTAAAATTATAATAGTGCAAAAAAAAAAGGTCAAGAGAAGTCAGAAAGAATTATCTGATATGAAAGGCTAAAAAAAAGAGTAGAAAACATGAGAAGCCAGAATGATTCATCGAAATCACTGCCAAGACCACAAAAAAAATCAAAAAGATCTACTATAATCACCAGAAGAATTGCAAAAGAGAGCAAAAAGATTCATCATAACTGTCAAAAAGAATTACAAGAAACCAGTAAGAACTAATGATTCAAAAAAAAAAAGAAAACATATATATTACAAGTCAAAGAAGCCAGAAAGAACTGCTAGAAATAAAAACACCATAATTGTTGGAAGAATGAGAGAACCAGAAAGACCACGAGAAAAGCTGAAAGATCTACTATAATCAACAGAAGGAAGACCAGTAAGAACCAAAATTCAATAAAAAAAAAAGAAAAAAAAAAACATACATACCACCATAATCGCCGGAAGGAGAAAAGTAGAAAGACTACAAGAGAAGCTGAAAGATTCATCATAATTAACAAAAGGAAGACCAGTAAGAACCAAAATTCAATAAGAAAAAAAAAAAATACATACATACCACTATAATCACTAGAAAAATGAGAAAAGCAAGAAGACTACGAGAAAAGCCGAAAAATTTACTATAATCGACAGAAGGAAGACTGATAAGAACCAAAATTCAATAAGAAAAAATATATATATATATATACATACCACCATAATTACCAGAAGAATGAGAGAAGCAGGAAGACCATGAAAAAAGCTGAAAGATTTACTATAATCAACAGAAGGAAGACTGGTAAGAACCAAAATTCAATAAGAAAAAAAAAAAACATAAATATTACTATAATTACCAAAAGAATGAGAGAAGCAGAAAGACTATAAGAAAAGCAGAAAGATTCACCATAATCGACAGAAGGAAGATCGGTAAGAACCAAAATTCAATAAGAAAAAAAAAAAAAACCATACATACCACCATAATTGCCAGAAGGAGAGAAGCAGAAAGACCACAAGAGAAGCTAAAAGATTCACTATAATCGACAGAAGGAAGATTGGTAAGAACCAAAATTCAATAAGAAAAAAAGAAAAAAAAATACATACATACCACCATAATTGCCAAAAAAATGAGAGAAGCAAAAAGACCACGAGAAAAGCTGAAAAATCTACTATAAACAACAGAAGAAAGATCAATAAGAACCAAAATTCAAAAATAAAAAAAGAAAAAAAAACATACATACATGCTACCATAATCACCAGAAGGAGAGAAGCAGAAAGACCATGAGAAAAGCCGAAAGATCCACTATAAATGACAGAAAAAAGACTGGTAAGAACCAAAATTCAATAAGAAAAAAAGAAAAAATAAACATATATATTACCATAATTACTAGAAAAATGAGAGAAGCAGAAAGACTACAAGAGAAGCCGAAGATTCACCATAATCAACAGAAAGAAGACTGGTAAGAACCAAAATTCAATAAGAAAAAAAAAAAAAAAAAAACATACATATCACCATAATCACTGAAAGAAGAGAAGCAGAAAAACTACGAGAAAAGCTGAAAGATTCACTATAGTCAATAGAAAGAAGACCGGTAAGAACCAAAATTCAATAAGAAAAAAAGAAAAAAAAAACATACATGCCACCGTAATCACTGAAAGAATGAGAGAAGCAGAAAGACTACGAGAAAAGCTGAAAGATTCATCATAATTGACAGAAGGAAGACTGATAAGAACCAAAATTCAATAAGAAAAAAAGACATACCACTATAAGTAGTAGGAATCAAAAAAAAATAAAAAATTAAACAACTTATATATCATGATTTATAACCTGTCTACTAATCTGAAGATCCCTGCAAATCTGAATAGCTTAGTCGTAGCTGAGTTATGAGTTATGGAAAAGCAAACAATACTTTTTTTTAAATACTTTGAAATGAGTAATCTGCATTTGTTTACTAAATTAATTACTGATAAAAATAAGTTCGTAAAATATAAGCGTTATATTTGATTCATTAGTTTACTAAAAATAAATAACTATTTAAGATCCGATTTGTATTACAGGTAGATGTTTAAACTCGATAATTGAGTTTTTACTCGATTTTGATGAGCACTAATACTATAGTATACTTCAAGACTTTTGATGAATATTTAGAATATTTATGATAAACTTTTATTAGAATCAGAAAAGCTAGTTTACGATTAAATTTAGAAAAGTGTAATTTTTGGATGCAAAGTTTACCATTTTTAGTATATATAATTACTTTAATTGGAATAGCACCTGACCCTCAAAAGATAGAAGCTGTCCAGAAAATTCAACCACCTAATAATATAACCCAACTATGTTTATTTTTAGAACTAGTAGGTTATTACTGACAGTTCATTCATAACTTCTCTAAAGTAGTACAGCCTTTAAATTAGCTATTATATAAAGAAACCCTTTATATATGGTATGAACCACAATAGGAAGCTTTCAAAGAATTGAAACAGAGACTTACTACAACCCCTATATTAAAGTATCCTGACTTCGATAAATTATTTATCTTAGCTACCAATATCTCTTATTATAGATTCAGAGCTACTCTTAGTTAATTAGATAGAAACAGAAAGGAACACTTTGTGGCCTATGCTAGTAAAAGCTTAACCAAAGAAGAAGTCAACTATGGTGCCACTGAACTTGAATGTGCTATAGTTGTATAGGCTATTGAACATTTTCATAAATATCTTGGAACTGCCAAATTCCTTCTAATTACTGACTACTCTGCTCTTAAGTGGTTATAATCTGCTGAATCTAAAAGATGCTTAGGAAGATGGATTCTAAAACTTCAGCCCTATAACTTTGAAATTATTCATAAACCAGGAAGAGTTCACTCCAACGTAGATACTTTATCTCGACTACAGACACAAACCCCTTATCAAAATTCTTCCTCATAAATTTGGACCTCTATTATAATTTATATAATTATTTAGAATTAGACAAGTTACTTAACTCTCTATTCCAGGAACAGATTAAACAAATACAACATCATGCTAGACATTTTATTACTAAAAAAGAACTATTATATAAGAAAAACAAACAGAACTCTTAGTACCCTCTTTGTGTTATCAAATAGAATAAAGTAGAACCTGTTCTGTATATGATGCATAAACATCCTACCACAGGACACTTAGAAACAGATGCTATGTACTATAAAATAGCTGAACGATATTATTGGGACCAAATGTATCAAGATGTACAAGAATATGTTAGAACATATGAAGAATACCAAAAGAGACTAAAAGGCAAATGAACTGAACCCCTTCACCCCATTCAAATAGGACAAGCTTTCAAATAAATTGGTATTGACTTAGTAGAACCCCTACCAATTACCAAACAAAATAATTGATATATTATTGTTACTACTGACTATTTAACAAGATGGCCAGAAGCCTGTACTGTACCTAATGCCAAAGCAAATACCTTAGCTCAGTTTATTTTCAAAGAAATTATTTGTCAATATGGAACACCAAAGATTATTCTCTATAATCAAAGAAGAAACTTTATTAGTGAAATTGTTCACTTTTTATATAAAAAGTTTCTTATCAAACATAAGTTTTCTTTACCATACTACCCACAGACAAATAAAATAATTGAATGTCTTAAACAAACCTTATATAAATCATTCACTAAAGTAAAAGAAAATGATGACTGGAACTTACATATATCTGCTATACTGCTTGCTTATCGAACAAAGAAGCATGCTACAACTGAATATATTCTCTTTTAGCTTGTATATAGATGACAAGCTGTTCTTCCAATTGAAGCCTTATTATCTGTTAAACCCTATAAAGAAACAGAATACAATTTACAAGATAGCATATTGCACTGAGCATTTGAGCTTATTGACAAGCTACCTGAATTGCAAAACGATGCAAGAGAAAAGACTAATAAATCATAACAGAAACAGAAAAAACACTTTGATGCCAAAATCTGGCATGAAACTTTTGAAATTAGTGACAAAGTATAGATAATTAGAAAAGATATAGAATATTCTCGATCAGCTAAATTCGAAGATAAAAGAACTGGACCCTTT